GTCCTAAATGGAAGGAGGCGGCAGTCCTAGAGGCAGGCGGCTGTGGAAGTAACTCTGGTCGGAGATGCTGGGGGGCGTGGGCTAGGTGCATGGGAGTGGGGTAGAAATGCATGGACTGGACAAGTCAGAACTTTCAAGCATTCATATAGGAGTGAAAGAGCAGTGATGAAAAGAAAAGAAAAGGTGTCCAGGGGCAACCCAGGTTTCTGGCTCAGGGGTGGTGCCCATAGCCAGGACAGAGGACACAGGAAGGAAGGGCTCTGTATTAACTAGGATTACTCTCGGCTGTAACTACCAGTGCCTTGACAAGGCAGAATTTTACTTCTCAGTTACATAGGTGTGAGGTGTCCAGTCCAGCTAAGGTGGTGGTTTGTCATGAAGTTCTCAGGGACCCGATTCCCTCCAGCTCTGCACGCCACCATCCCTAGGGTCTGGCCCTCAGCCTCAAAGCCCAATAGGGTGCCACTCATTCCATGGCAATCACCCAGCACTTCTGCTCCCGTCGCATTGACCAGAACCTAGTCATGTGGACAAGTCTTACTGCAAGGAAGGCTGGGAAATGAGGCCTTTATTCTGATCTGTTTAAAGTGCTACTGCTGGGCTGGGCCGAGCCTGTGGCGCACTCGGGAGAGTGTGGTGCTGGGAGCGCTGCTGCGCTCCCGCCGTGGGTTCGGATCCTATATGGGGATGACCGGTGTGCTCGCAGCGCTCAATGGCTGAGCGCGGTGCGGCCGGTCTCAAAAAGGACAAAAAAGTAAAATAAAATAAAAAATAAAGTGCTACTGCTGTGAAAGAAGAGAACAGATACTGGGGGCAGATGGCAGGCTCTGCCACAGGCTTTTGCGGGAAGGGTAATGTCATAAAATGAAATGACTGTTTCATGGTAGAGAGTAAACACTACCTGGAGGGCTATGGGGAGGTTAGAGAAAGAAAATTGCAGCTAGTCCAGGATGCTTCCTGGAGGAGGCAGCCTTTGGAGATGGATGGATTTGAACAGGCAGAGGTGGGAGGGAAGAGGCCCTGTGGAGATGCAGAAGGGCTGAGTGGGCACAGGAGGCTGCCTGTGTCTGGCAGGATGGTCGCACCAGATGTCAGGGTCTGCACAGCCAGGCCAAGGGGACAGATCTCTCAGAGGTCAGAGTGGAGGCAGGAAGTGGAATCGATCTCCCTGCACGGCCCCAAATGCCAGAACTTGCTGGACCTTGAAAATAGCCGTTGTTCCAAGGTAGGCATGGAGGTGCCTGAATGGTGATGCAGGGCTTGTGGGTGTCCTGCCTGGAGTGGCCCATGCCACGTGCAGAGCCCAAGACTGAGAGGGGCTCTGCCAGGCCCTCACGCAGGGCATTTCATCAGACATCCACAGGCTGTGATACCTTTCAGGTCTGGAACCTCAAGGACCGAACAACAGAGCTCGTCCCTTACAGAGCTCCTCCTCTGCCTGCCCACGTCAGCTAGTACATCTGCAGCCTTGCCCTATTGGGGATGGGTATCGGATGCTGTCAGGGGATTACTGTTAATTTTGTTAGGTGTGATAATGGCGTAGTAGTGTATAACTACTATCATTACCATTTAAATAATAACAAAGTCTTTATCGTTTGGAATTTCATACTGAAGTATTTGTAGGTGAGATGACACGTCTGAGAATTGCCTTGAAACACTCAAGAAAGAACCCACGGCTGGGTGTGGGAGGTGCTTGATGAAATAACATCGGTAGATTGTTAATAGTGTTGCTGAGCGACAGTACATGAGGGTCCTTATATTCTTTCTCCCTTTGTTTATATTTCAAATTCTTCCATTAAAAAGTTCTTACTAAGTTAGGTTATGATTTTTGCTGTAGATTAGACATCATTGAAAAAGACGGACTGTGAAATGGTTGCTTTCAGAAATTGTTTTTTTCTTAATTTGGCTTCTAAAGCAATAAAAGTTATTAAAGTGAGTATTAAGAATTTAACTTTGTTTTTCAGATACAGTGCAGTAAGCTTGAAGAGGAAATCCAGTCTTCAACAGAAGAAACACAACTCTTCTATAACAGAGGGGTGTAGGGCGAGTTTTAGGTGAATTTGTCTGGTTGCAGCTTGAAAACCTTCCTGTCTGTTTAAGGAACTCTGCCACAGGCCTGCTGGAGACCCCAGAGGTGCCTGTGCTGACAAGATGACTTAAGATGCCACTTGCTGAGACGCTTGCAGGCTGGTTGTGTCTGGGCTTTCAAGGCTGGCTGGAGGAAGAGCCACAAGACACCCCCTGGGGCTGCTGAGGGGACAGCAATGAGAATGAGCCTGTTAAAGGAGACTGTGAAATTACTGATAACCTTCTCGAGTTCAGTATTTGAAGAAATAAAGGCAGAGGGCCCACTGCGGCCCGGACACAGGCAGTAGATTCGTAGCCCAGCTCAAGATAAGCGTGAACTTCTGTGGAGCCCAGCAAAGCCTCTAACCCCAAATCAGTCCTGTCCCCTACTTAGCTTATTGCCATCCCAGACAGCTACTTAAAATCTTTGCCACCCTCCTGCCAGCTCTGCTTTCTCCACTGGCAAATGACCCTGCTCCTCCACTGCGAAACGGAGGACAGCAATGGAAACTCCCTGGCTCCTCCTGGCACCAATTTGGCACCCCTCCTTCTGCCCACACCCATCCTGTCCTCTGTGCAAGGTCAGCTGTCCCTCAGGCTCTGGGCCCACCCTCTCTGTTATCCCAAGGCCTTGCTCTGTAGTCTCTGCCGTCCCCTCTGGCTCAGCGTCCCTCCCTGCTGGCTCCTTCCCAGTAGCATTTAAACTGTTTCAGTCACCTGCTTCATTAAAAAAGCACAAACTCTGTTCATAGCAGACTTCTTACAAGACTTGTGGGCCCTCATCTTCTCTGCCCCACCTTCCATTCAGCAGAGACCGCCTCACCCATGTGCTACCGGGACGCTCCCGTGTTATGCTGCTCTCCTGAGCAAGAGGCCCCCATCCAGCTGCCCAATGGTCTTTGCCATTTGGATGTCCCACAGATACCTCTAACTCAACCCATCCAACCTGAGATGGGCTTTCCCTCCCAACCTCAGCAAAAGGCACTGCCACTGACCCAGTTATGTAGAACAGGATCAGTGATGTCACCCCCACCCCATTCCACAGACCCGGCCCCACACAGTCTAGTCTAGAACTCCTGGCTGCTGCATCGCCCCAGCTCAGCCCAACAGCATCCCCTGCTGGTACTGCTCGGCTGCTGTCTGGCTCCCTGCAATCTTCTAAGCCACACCTGCTGAAAAGCCTTAAATGGCTTACAGGTGCGTCAGGACCAAGTCCAAGTTCCTTACTATGGAAGGCAGGAGCCTTTACCTTACTCATCTCGCCACTCCCATTCCTCACCGTGGACCAGCATCCAGTTCCTCATGTGGGCTGTGGTCACTCTTCTCTGGGCCTTCACACAGGCTGTTCCCTCTGCTCTGGGCTAACGCCTGCTTAGGCTTCAGGTCTGGCTTGGACATAATCGTTCCCCCCAGAGGGGGGTAATCCTTCCAGGATTCATGGTACTGAATTAGGTGTCCCTGCTATGTGCTCCCGTAGCATCCTGTGTTTCCCATATCGGGTCTAGTGCAAGGACCTGCTTGCTAATCCTGTTTCCCCAGCAGACTGTCTTACCCATGGGGTAGCCCCAGATACAACACAGGGTGTGAAAGAGTAGGTACCCAAACATTTGTGTACCAGGGGAACGTTTCCAGCACACCCTGCCCCAAATCAAGGAACATACCAGTGGATTCCAGCTTTCCCTAGGCCAGAATGATGGTTAGTTCCAAATTCGGTAAAAGGAGTCTCACAACATCCTAAAAGGACAATGAGTAAAAATTATCCACCAGATGGCTGAGGCTGGCCACAGCCTTAACACAAAGTTAAATGCAGAGAACAAGATGGGCAAAGGCTCCAGGTGGAGGTTTAGCTTCTAACTGATGATGGAGTAAGAAATGTGAAGGCACCTTCCAAGCAGAGGAAGCTGAAGTGAGGCAGCTCTAGCAAGCAGGGAATGGAGGAGGTAGGGCAGGACAGAAGGTGGGGCCGAGTTGTGGTGTGGGGTCGCTTTAATTTTATAAGTTTTTGGCAGCTGGCCAGTGCAGGGATCCAAACCTGTGACCTTGGGGTTAAAAGGCTGCACTCTAACCAGCTAAGCTAACCGGCCAGCCCTCAGCTTTAACTTTCACATAGGTCTTCTAATAATTCTCCAGTGCCTTCACCTTCAGTTGAAAAACAGGTTTTTTTCTTTTGCTTTGTTTGGAGTGAGAATTGGAGAAAGAAGGCACAAGTCTTCACCTACCAAAAACTTTGTTGAGTATCAAAATACTTCATTTTATTTCTACATCATAAATTTGTCATTTCCACGACTTTGATCATTAACTAATACAGACAGCCCCGACTTAAGATGGTTCAACTTTCCATATTTTGACTTTACAATGGTGTGGAAGTGACGTGTGTGCAGCAGGAGCCGTCCTCCAAGCACCCACACAGCATCCTGCGTTTCACTTTTGTTCAACTTTCCATATTTTGACTTTACAATGGTGTGGAAGTGACGTGTGTGCAGCAGGAGCCATCCTCCAAGCACCCACACAGCATCCTGCGTTTCACTTTTAGTCCAGTATTCAATAAGTTACACGAGACAGTCAACACTGTATTATAAAATAGGCTTTGTGCTAGATGATTTTGCCCAACCATAGGCTAAAGTAAGCGTTCTTAAACATTTTCACTGTCTAAGGTAGGCTGGGTGTACTAAATGCATTTTTGACTTGCAATATCTTGAACTTACAATGGGTTGATCAATAGGTAACCCCATCGTATATAGAGGAGCATCAGTACAGTCATACAAAAAAAGGGTGGGAGAAAAGATGTTAGTATGCATTTTCATAAAGTGCAGATTTAATTTTCAGTTGTTTGCCTCAGTGAACATCATTTCATTTCAGGTATTTTCCTGCCCCCACCTAGGGAGGGAGGAGAAAAAGGCTATTTTTTATTTTTTGTATAATAAATGTTAACACCAAAAAGAGAAAAAGATCGTATAAAGAAGTTTTTTTTGCAAGCATGTTTCCAGGTAGGATTTCTAAAATAACAAGTATATCTTAGACCTCTATGCTTGTTTGGCAATTATAAGGTCTCTAATTAGGAAAATGGTACAGAACAGAGAACAGTTACTTTGCTATGTGGCCAAATTACATTACTAAAGTTGTCTGAAGACATTCTCTGGCTTTGGTCCCTGCAAGAAGTTAATTCTCACAATTCCTTACCAATTATGATGTCACTGTTTCAGTCCTGCAGACATTTATGTTCAAAGTGGGCCCCTCATTTACCATGTAAGGACGAGCATCTTTTTCAAAAGAATATTGCTAGCAACAGGGTTAACTGAAGAGTACTAGTGGCTTAAGTTTGCCAGGTGCTTACTTCTGTAACAATATAAATATGGAGTATTAAAGTTGTCTACTCAAGTATAAAATCTAATCAAAATCTTCATAGTACAGGCAAAATGTTCAAAGGCCAAGAAAAAAATTTTTCTTTTACAAAAGAGTGCAACTGCAGGGTCTTTTGAATGATCTTCTAGACAGTTCTGCAGAAAACTTAAGTAGTTTGGCTCAGAAAGTAGATTTCCTCATAAGGAATTAAAGTTCTTCCTAGAAGAATACAAAGCAGAATTTCAGGCAGCTTTCTGAAAATAAACCATTAGTTTATAGCTACACAGGTGATAAATGGGAACATAATAATGAAGGCTTTAAGATTTGCTGTGATTTGCACAAGAACTTGACAGCTTTTTCTCTCTTACTCCAGGACATCAGGCTGTTTTACAATGTTACACGTAGTAGTGACAGCACTTTGTCCGACACTGACAGCGGGCAGGAAACTGATCTGCTAGAAGAAACTCAGAAGTGTTTTCATGTGTTTCAGGTCAAATCTCAATACTTTCAAATAAATCATTAAAAATAGAACATTTTCTCTGTTATTTTCAGTATTTTACATAGCTAATGGCTAATCAGAGGGAGAGGCGGGCTTTCTATCAGTCATCAGTGAGACATTCTGTCCTGGTCAGATTTTCAGCATCTGTTCGGCTGCTGCTAGATGGTAAAGGAAGTTTTCTGTTGCTGGTGGAAATCGTTTTTGCTTTAATGCCTCAAAATTGAGGACTCTCTTTTCTCCATCTTCTGAAACTTCTGAAAACGGTGCTAGCTTGGTGAAGATTTCTCTTGTTTTGAGGGCAATATCCTTTAACAGAACAGGAGAATATGTAATACGTTAGTATCCAAAAATTTGAAGTTATTTCCTAGAATTCTTCCTACCATTTTTTTAAAAGTTTATCAGACTAACTTTATTTATAAATTATGAAACATATGAATCATATGGTGACTCTAACTTTTTGAGGAACCTTGCTATTGTTCTCTGAACAAATCTCTTCCCCAAAGTCTTCTTTTGCCTGGGATAAGTACCCAGCCCCTGCCACCAGGCTTTATTCCTCTTCAGTAACCGGCTTTCCTCTGAGCGGCTGAGGTCTCACGAGGGCTCGCATTAAACTCACGTCTTTCTTCTGGGTTGCTGACATCATGGCCTCATTCCGATGTTTCTGGGCCCCTGCAACATGCTGGGCACTTTGACTCTCCCTCCCCAAGGTGTCATACATTATATGGAGTCATCTCTGCCTCACTATTTGTCCATGAAAAACACAGTAATTCAAAATGCACATTTACATATTTCACTAACACTGCTAAGTGTTTTCACTCTAATGTTGATGGGGGCTGGGTGGGCATTGATGACCCACATGGTAGAAAAGCAGCATCTTCTGAGAGTCTCAGGGTGCGGGTCCTCAGGACAAGACCTGTCCACTCTTCCTGGGCACAGCTGGACGGGCCACTGGCACTGAACTGAAAGAAGAGTGCTGCTGGCGAGTCCCAGGCAGTCCCTGTGGCCCCTCTCCTTCGGTTCATGTCACCTCCTCAGAGAGCTGTCTTACCTCCTCCCAAATATTCTCTGCCTCCCCCCTTGTTTCTGTCACAGCATTTATCCTGGCCCACAAACATCTCGTTTATTATTATTTTTTTTTAGAAGATGACCAGTAAGGGGATCTTAACCCTTGACTTGGTGTCAGCAGCACGCTCTCCCGAGTGAGCCACGGGCCAGCCCTATGTGTATTATTTTCTATTCATCTGCCCACTAGAGCACAGGCTCTGTGAGGGCGGGGGCTTGGCTCCCCACTGACCCCCACTGCCCAGGGCAGTGCCTGATGGAGAGCTGGTGCTCGGTGCGCGCCATCTGAGTCACTGAACAGATGAATGAAGAAATGCGCTGGGTTGGAACAGGTGAGTAGAGCCTGCTTATGAGAGGTGCCCCCTACGTGGCACAGGCACAGATAAGGGAGACAGTCCTTCCAGGCCCCTCGGGCCCAGGGTGTGAGACGGGGGTCTGGATGAGGCAAGGCTTGGGAGAGGATAGGCTGGAAGCGTATCCCTCCGGAGAGGAGCAAGGAGCTGGGCACAGGCCAAATGCAAAGAGCCAGGAGCCAGGATGTGAAGATACTGGGCAAGCTACAGGGCAGAGAAGGAGCACCGGCACCACGTGGAGAGGCACAGGAAATAAAAGAGAAGGTGCTGACTGGTCCACATGGAAACTCTGGTCAGCTTGATAGGTAGTCCCCACAGAGGAGGTGGCTCTGCAGGTGTGACGGCAGAGCTTGCTCAGCGGGACAGGAGTCTGACTGCATGATTTCCGCTGTCCTGGAGACAATACAGCAAAGCTACATTACAGTGGTCTATCTTGCTCCGTGCTCAGCAACTACCTTCTCTTTATGATTTATTCCTTCATGAACATTCTCCTGGGAGTAGCACTGGCTGGCCCAGAAAAGCATTCCAAACCACCTGGCAGTTACGGTTCTCACTATCAATGGTTGTCTTCAGCACCAGCCCCCATATACACCTGCCCTGGGCTGGGCCATGGCAGCCCACACCTGCCCATCCATCATCACCGTAGCCAACCCACCAACCCATGTCTGAGCACCTGCCTGCAGGCCCCTCCCATGCTACTGTACCCTGCTACCGTGCAGGTAAGGAGCAGATGTGCCGCACACCAGCCAGCAATGCTGTCGCAGGACCCCTAGCATGTCGGAAGACGAGGGAGTTACCTGTATAACCTGGCTGTCTGATTTCTCTGGATCTTCCGCAGACTGAACAATTAGATGACCAATTTCTTTGTGCAGTTTGCCCATTGTCATGGCCTCTGGTGAGATCAAGAATATGCTGTGTGAGTATTGAGAAGTTTACATAATAAAAAATAATCATGCCGTCTTTCCAAAAACTTGAAAGACCATACTGAGGGAATTTTCAAAATGCAGCTGACAATCACCCACATTTCCATTTTATCACTAAACACAAACATAATGACATGCTAGGAGGTAAAGCATAACACAATCATGATTTATATACCATGCCAAATTTCCCCTTCACATCCACCTGACACCAATTTTTATTATTCTTTGCAGATAAAACGTAATGAAAAACTCTGGTTACAAATAAGTTGTGACTTTATGCCAAGAACCTGACTTTCTTGTCCAGGACTTTACCGTTAAGCATTTAATTTTATCTTTCTGGTGGGAATGTTGTGAAAGAAGTGCTTCCTGACAGTTGTGCAGAAGCCACCTAAGCATTCAGTGTGTTCAGACCCTTAGAAATGAGCAAAGGAAACCACCTAAGTAACATTAATTACATACACTGCTACTGTCTGCATCAAAAAGATTAACAAATTTCTGGCTGTCACTGCAAGGGATAAACTCCATTCGAATGGTACTGGCTGGGATGAGCCCATTTTATACAGTCTGAACAGCAGTAGCAGCAGGGAGATGGCCATCCTTTCTGACCCTATGGCTTCAGCAGTTTAAGTGGCCCTGGCCACAGCCAGTTTTCTACCACATTGGCTTTTCAACAGGCAGTATCTACTAAAAACCTGATTCTGTACTTTGAATTTTTCACCATGAACACACATTATATTTGTAATTTTAGAATGAGTTAAGAGAAAACCAATTCTGGTTTTATTAATTTGAAGTTGCTAATAAAACCTCATATAATCAGAATCTTAACAAAAATTTCTAATTAGTCAGCATTTGGCTGCCCCCACTTTTAGGAGACAGGTAAGTGACAACACAAAAGCTATTATCAGTGATCCCATCTAAACCAGCACCTGAGTATCCCTGGGCACTTTTCCATGAAGCTGTAATTTAGGACAATTTATCATATCTAGAGATGACACTCGTGACACTAGAATACCCTTTCTCGATCATTACCTCCAAGACCACTTTCATTCCCTTTTGCTTACTGAGACATCCTTCAAAGATTTTCCATACAAAACGGAGTCATATTTAATCCTTGTGTAGTGATAAATGTCTACATACTCTTTGATATTTCTTCTTTCAAGAGCTGGAGACTTATTCCTCTTCCCTTAAGTGTGGACTGGATTTAGTGACTTGCTTCTAACAAGTATAGAGAAAGTAATACTGTGTGACTTCAGGAACAAAGTCATAAAAGGCTTTGGCCTTCTTCCCTTTCTCTTTTGGATCCCTTGCTCTTGGGAAAGCCAGCTTTCATGTTGTGAGAACACTCAAGCTGTCCAGTAGAGAGGTCCATGTGGCAAGGAACTAAGGCCTCCTGCCAAAAGCCATGTGTGTTAGCTTGGAAGTGGATCTCCAGCCCCAGCTGAGCTTTCAGATGACTGCAGCCCTGGCAATATCTTGATTGAAACCTCAAAAGAGACCCTGAACTAGAACCACCTACCTAAGTTACTCCTGATCCACTGAAACTGTGAGATAATAAATATTTATTTTATTTTATGACCGGTAAGGGGATCGCAACCCTTGGTATGGTGTGGTTCGCACCACGCTCAGCCAGTGAGCGCACTGGCCATCCCTACATAGGATCCAAACCCGTGGCTTCGGCACTAACAGCGCCGCACTCTCCTGAGTGAGTGACGGGGCTGGCCCAATATCTGTTGTTTTAAACCACTGAGTTCTAAAGTGATCTGTTATGTAGCAATAGACATACTTTGTTTAAGCAGAAAAGTGCGGAAAATTTGTTAACATACATGTGCAGCATAAGCACCCAGGATGTACTGCTAACATGTTTATGTCTTAAATAAATGTTGTGTTCCAGATACGGAAAAATCCCTCCAGCTTCAGCAGAGTGGGTTAAGCAAGCCTTCAAATACTGGTTTTAGAAAATCAACTGAAGGGCTGACCTGTGGCTCACTTGGGAGAGGGTGGTACTGATAGCACCAAGGCCACGGGTCCGGATCCCTATATAGGGATGGCCAGTTTGCTCACTTGGGAGAGCTTGGTGCTGACAACACCAAGTCAAGGGTTAAGATCACCTTACCAGTCATCTTTTTTAAAAAAAGAAAACCTAAAAAATATGAGTACTTCAAAAAGTTCATGGAAAAATAGGATTAAAAGATAATACAAATCTTTCCATGAACTTTTTAAAGTACCCATGTACAGTTATTTGACTGATATCTTGTGCTAGTAACAGAACTGAGAACTAACCTTTTGCAAGTGGAGCAATAGTAATCTCACTCTCTGCCAGATTCACAAACACATCATAGAGGTCTGGTCTATTGCTCACTTCCAAGTCGACAAATCCGGCGATGTAACCTGCATTACAAAGATGAACAACACTACTGGAGTAGGAAGAAATATTGTGAACATATCAAAAGAGAATTGAGTCTAAAAGCTCATCAGCTGCTTTTCTTCACTGTTTTATTTGGGAACATCAGCCGTACCCTGTGGCATTTATGAAAACTACATTATTGTCAGTTGCCTGAAGAAATTCACACAACTCAAAATGTTCCAAAATTAGACTTCAATGTCAGGGAACAAGGCTGAAGCAAAGCATTTACTTTTTGGTCATGCTATTTGGGTTAAGAATGACAGACAAGGCAGAAGGTAGCAAGGATTCTCTTAACCAATGTTCCCTCTTCAGGTCTGTCTCCAGGAAATCAAAGCCACATGCCTATGTTCTCAGTGATAACATGGATCTGATACAATCAATAAATGCTAATCAGGGCAATTCAAGAATTAGCAGACCTCTGGAATTGGTGGTATTTAACAACAGCTCTCACTCATATATGAGACAATGTGATATACGACTGAATGATTCTGCTGATCTAATTCCCTTGCTTTTAAAAAAGAAGCTAAGAACAAGTTAGATTTAGTAAAATTAAATTCTAAAAGATCTGTATTTATTATAAAAATAGGAGAGTCTTTGGTAACACTGAACAGAAGGTATAGCTCATCTAAAATCGGGGTCAGCAAACTATGGCCCATAGGCCATAGGCCAGCTGCCTATCTTTGTAAATAAAGTTTTATTGATTACAGCCATTCTCATTCATTTACATACATGTTATCTATGGCTGCTTTTGTGCTACCCAGGCAGCTGACTAGTTAAGACAGAGATTGCATGGCTCGCAAGCCTAAAATATAAACTGTCTGGCAAGGAAAAGTTTGCTAATTCCCTGCTCTAAAATATTCATTTTTCTAATGTTAAGAATCTGTCCAAATTCAGTGACTTTGAACCACTAGATCTAAACTGAAACATTAGACAAAATGGTATTTCAACCCCAGAGTAACGCATGCCATGTATACAGAACAGAGCACATGGTAATATCTAGTGCCCCAAACTGTCTGCCAACAAAGTTCACAGGTTTTAATAATTAGAGATGATACCTGGTAAACTCCTGGACAGCTTCTATTTTGGGATGATAGACAACAATTCTCTTCTTTAGCATGAGTGCGGTGTGTAAGATAACAGTTTCCATTCCAAACTGAGATACAATGTCTTTAAAAAAAAAAAAAAAAGAAATTAAAATGTTACTACATTAAATATTATATAAGGAAATAAATTTTTATCAGAAAGAGTTGTCATACATACACAAAATTATGTTCAATATAAAGAATAAATTTAGGCAAATGTTGCAAACATGAAAGCACCTTATTTGGCAGATGAGTATATCTACCGGGATGACTGCTCATCGGCTGTGCTACAGCTGCCTGCAGCTACCCCCAAGGGGCTCCACACAGGAGGCACAGATGAAGCCAGACTCACAAGAAAGTAGAATAAATGATATGAAGGGGAACCAACATCTTTCTGTATCATGAAAACAGCCTGATTTTTAAGAAAAAGTCCATTAACCACTCCCGCCCCTGTCATTACTTAAGCCCTTTTTATCTAGTTGGATGAACACCTGACACCTCAACAAGGATGCTTAGAAGCCACATAGGACAATGGGATCAAGAGCAAAGACAGGCACAAGGGGAGGATGTGAATGGGGGCAGCTTCACCTTCAGAGTTCCCCTCTCCTCCTGCTTGAGGACCCTGAAGTCTGTGGCTGAGCCCTGGGCTATCTATGCCATTTTGGATTTTCCAGCCAAAAAAAAAAAAAAATGGTTAAGATGGTAAGTTTTATGTTATATGAATTTTACCACTATTTTTTTAAAAGGAGAAAAAATTGATAGCATTTGCCAAAGAAATAATAAATGACCAGTATTCCCCTTAGGAATACACATTAAAAATAAAACCAAAACAAAAAACCCTCCTTAAAGCAAAATATTTCATTCCCAGGATCCTCCTGCCTACCCGTGCACATCTGCAGGGCTTCCAGTTCATCGGCATCGAGGTGCACATAAGAATGAAGGATGGTCCAGTCCTGTCGATGCCACACGAGAGCGGGCAGAGTCCTGGGGAATCAAGGCAAGAAGTCAAATTGTAGCTGGCCCACACCTAAAAGACTCAGCCTGTCCCTCCTCTTCCTGAGGAGGAAATTAAGAAGCTAGAGCCATAACAGCTAATCAGGGACAGAGGTGAGACCAAGCCCCAAACATGCTAACAGACACCTTCAGGCTTCAAGTTAAAGCAATTCAGTGTTTTACACTCTACTTTTTTGGGTCGGATAAGCTACAGAAAGCTCAAGGTGAAGTTTCAAAAGATCTCCAGGGTGGCAAGGAGTGATACTTCTAAAGTCTTCCTCCAAACATCCCAGTGTGCAGACTGCCACGGAGAGAGAGTCCAAGGTAATATCCAAAGTGGCCCCGGTAAGCAGGAAATTTTCAGGAAGCCTCCATCTACGTTTAGAGTTCCAGCCAAACTTGCAGACCACGCTGTGTCTGTTTTCACACAACATAGGTTTCCTTAGAAAAAACTTGTGGTAAAACAACTACTGCAGGAAGATGTGCTGACTTTATCTGTGGCTCTGTGCACCCCCTGGTAAATATCCCCAGAAGCTAGGGACACTCCAGTTTAAGAAGCATGAATGTAGGTGGAAAAATAAGGGGGTAGAAAAATATAGTTTTGGAGCCAGAGAGCAGAGGAAAAATTCTGGCCCTCTCATTTAAGATTTGAGGCAGTCACGATCATAACAATAATCATTTCTAAAGTATGAACAAGCCACATGCTAAGCATTTTACATAAATTATTTCTAGTGCTAAAAATGAACTTATGAAGTATGTATTATGATCCTCATTTTACAGATAAAGAAACTGAGGCTCAGAAACATTCAATATCTTTTATGTGGCCACAAAGCTAATAAGTTGCTGTCCCAGGATTTTAACTCAGATCTTTCAGACTATGAAACCTTTCTTCTTTTCATGATCTTACCACTTAGCCTCTGCAAGCCTCAATTTTCTCGTTCATAAAATGGGGTAATAATACTTCCTTGCAGGGTTCTTGTCATAAGTAAATTTAATAATTTAAGGTGTCTTATATTATGCCTGGCATATAATAAAACCAGCACAAATGCTAATTCCCTTGCTTTTAAAAAAGAAGCTAAGAACAAGTTAGATTTAGTAAAATTAAATTCTAAAAGATCTGTATTTATTATAAAAATAGGAGAGTCTTTGGTAACACTGAACAGAAGGTATAGCTCATCTAAAATCGGGGTCAGCAAACTATGGCCCATAGGCCATAGGCCAGCTGCCTATCTTTGTAAATAAAGTTTTATTGATTACAGCCATTCTCATTCATTTACATACATGTTATCTATGGCTGCTTTTGTGCTACCCAGGCAGCTGACTAGTTAAGACAGAGATTGCATGGCTCGCAAGCCTAAAATATAAACTGTCTGGCAAGGAAAAGTTTGCTAATTCCCTGCTCTAAAATATTCATTTTTCTAATGTTAAGAATCTGTCCAAATTCAGTGACTTTGAACCACTAGATCTAAACTGAAACATTAGACAAAATGGTATTTCAACCCCAGAGTAACGCATGCCATGTATACAGAACAGAGCACATGGTAATATCTAGTGCCCCAAACTGTCTGCCAACAAAGTTCACAGGTTTTAATAATTAGAGATGATACCTGGTAAACTCCTGGACAGCTTCTATTTTGGGATGATAGACAACAATTCTCTTCTTTAGCATGAGTGCGGTGTGTAAGATAACAGTTTCCATTCCAAACTGAGATACAATGTCTTTAAAAAAAAAAAAAAAAGAAATTAAAATGTTACTACATTAAATATTATATAAGGAAATAAATTTTTATCAGAAAGAGTTGTCATACATACACAAAATTATGTTCAATATAAAGAATAAATTTAGGCAAATGTTGCAAACATGAAAGCACCTTATTTGGCAGATGAGTATATCTACCCGATGACTGCTCATCGGCTGTGCTACAGCTGCCTGCAGCTACCCCCAAGGGGCTCCACACAGGAGGCACAGATGAAGCCAGACTCACAAGAAAGTAGAATAAATGATATGAAGGGGAACCAACATCTTTCTGTATCATGAAAACAGCCTGATTTTTAAGAAAAAGTCCATTAACCACTCCCGCCCCTGTCATTACTTAAGCCCTTTTTATCTAGTTGGATGAACACCTGACACCTCAACAAGGATGCTTAGAAGCCACATAGGACAATGGGATCAAGAGCAAAGACAGGCACAAGGGGAGGATGTGAATGGGGGCAGCTTCACCTTCAGAGTTCCCCTCTCCTCCTGCTTGAGGACCCTGAAGTCTGTGGCTGAGCCCTGGGCTATCTATGCCATTTTGGATTTTCCAGCTAGGAGTTAAATAAGGGACTCTGGGTCAGGACTTGAGCTCCTGAAGAAGAGGTAACTGCTAAGATACAAGGAGAGAAAAACTGTGGAAGTCAATGGAGACCTCGAGCCTGGACATTCAGCTTACTAGTGAGATAACATTTCTATAATAACAGCCTAATATGGAAAGGAACACCACAAAAATCTATTTTCCATTGATTCTAACCAATAAGGAAACATAGGAGTTGAAGTACCCTCCTGTGTAGGAGACAAATACTATGTAGATGAAAATAATGTATGGAAAGATGGAACAATGAAATCTAATGAGAGATTGTCCTTGGCTTGAAGATTTTCTTGTTGGGATGGTTTTTTTTTTTTTCTTTTACCTTTAATGGAGCCTGCAAGATATGCCTTTCGGGCATCAAAGTCCTTGCTAAGAAAAGAGCCATTTTCTTCACTCTGGCATACCCCCTTTGTGAGAACAGCAATATAACTCTCCATCATTTTAACTGGACTCCCATGTTTCAGGTATATTCTGTAAGAAAGGACAAAAAGCAACCGTGCTTTTATTTGGCATGAATCACATGCAGAAAGGCACCAAGGCTAGGCATGGGTACTTTCTAAAGAATCTAAAGACAACTTACTAATTCACTTCTGAATGCCTGAATCTTTTCATGACATGAACAATTTCCCAAATTTAATTCAAAAACATATTTAAAAAAAAAAAAAAGCACTTAAGAGACCTTCAGCAATTCTTTGATGTCAGCTCTCTCCTTACATCTTGGGAAGCCTGGTATAGTCACTAAGGAGAATAAACCAGGGACTCTCCGAGGCCATATTATTCCCAAGAACATTGTATACTTATCTCTTTTTTATGTCCTACATTCATAACTGGTGTTCTTAGTCATACAACTCTGTTTTATTACTGGAATTTCCTTTGACAAGAAAAGGGTTTTATGCGTTGTTCACAAAGAAAGCAGTAATTAGTTGTAGAACCCATACTTATTATCAGAGTTCCCATAGGTGTCTGTATTTAGATAATTAAGAAACCAAACTCTTTAAGTTTCTGGTGACAAATGAGCATTAGAGACATTCATCAGGTTAAAACTTCCAGAAAATGCTGACAGGAAACTGGCTGCCTTTATAGCTCACATGTGGAGTCAGTCTCTTCCCCTTGAAATCTCTTCCTGTGAGTAACTAAAACTAAATTTTGCTTGAGAAACATGACTGGGTCTATTTGGGCCTTTCAGCAGCTGATGAGATAGAAAATCGGGGGAAAAAAAAAAACCTGATGTTTAAGATAGATCACATGAAAATTATATTTATTGTAGATTGAGTGAAAAAAGCAAGTGTTTTAACTGCTTACTAAATTTTGTCAATCATCAGTGGTTTTTATTATTTCAATCCACAAGTTGAGAAAAAAGGTGGAGAACAATAAATATGGTAAATTCTCATATATGTAAAATACATTCAAACCTATGAACTCATATATGTGCTTACACAGGGAAAACACATCTCTGGTAGGATATCAAGAAAGATGTCAGAGGAGTTGTGTGGGGTGGGGGTCAGGAGGCAGAACTGGAGGCTGGGGAACAGGCCGAGGAGGGACTTAGTTTTCACTCTATACACTTCTGTATTGTTCCTATGAACTCATATATGTGCTTACACAGGGAAAACACATCTCTGGTAGGATATCAAGAAAGACGTCAGAGGAGTTGTGTGGGGTGGGGGTCAGGAGGCAGAACTGGAGGCTGGGGAACAGGCCGAGGAGGGACTTAGTTTTCACTCTATACGCTTCTGTATTGTTTCAGGCCGAGGAGGGACTTAGTTTTCACTCTATACACTTCTGTATTGTTCGCATTTTTTATGTGTTTTACCACCACCAACAACAAAATTAAAACACCATTAACATAAAAGAGAAACAACATATAGTAATGGAGAAGAGAAACATTGGAAGGTTGGAGGGATAAGATGACTTCCTATGTGACAGCCCTGGGCCATGAGAGATGGAACAGAGGGAGGAATGCCCCAAAACCAATCCACAGGAAAACCATGCAGTGCGACCAGAGAGGACCTTGTTTAGACAGACACCGCAGGCTGCCACACATGGCTTGGACAGCTGATTCCAAGTGTGCATGAAACCCTGGTTCTCTACCAGGGCCACTAGCTGCAGGGACTAGAAGACGGGGATCTTGACAGTTAACCTGCAGGCTGCACTGGGAGGGAGGCCTTCCCATGTGGGCTTCTGCTGCCATGTGAGCAGTATGTGGAGGCAGGCACGCCTGCCTGCTCCTCTCACCAGAAACAGAAGAGACTAACTCCACGTGAACCTCGCCACCATGAAAAAGTGTTTGTCTATGAGTGTGTACATGTGCACACAGACACATACCTACGTGGGGATGGGGGTGTCCAAATGCAAAGGTGAGCACACAAATAATGGGTAGGGGGCAGAGGAGGTAGCCAGCAATTGCCCTGAGCCTTCACTTCTCTCGCACTGTGATGGGAGAGGAGAACCCAGAACACTACAGTGCCATGACACTGCAGAAGCTGAGAAACCTCTGGGCTTCCTCCTGGGCAGGAAGTGGGGTCTGAAGCAACCTTGCCTTCTGCACCCCAGAATATTTCCCAGTGAGTTCAGTTGAGTAAACTAACCCTGACTCAATCAAACGAAATGGGAGTCCAGTGTTTGTGCAAAAACACCTCTGTAGTGTTTTTAGTTTATGGCTTATGGATAGCATCTCTTCTAGCAATAATAATCTCCCTTTGTGTCATGAAGACAATTGTTTATATTCCACAGTGAGACATACACCTGGAATTTATCTTATGACAGCAGGAAGTCTTTCTTATCCTAGTTGGCTGGAAAAACAGTCAAATGGTATTTAGTCAAAATACAATCTAACTGAAACCCATACATAATAAAGATATTCTTGCACCGGGTTTTGTGTTCTGTTTTGGTGTGTGGGTATGTGGGTGGGTGCATGCATGTACAAAAATGGCAAAAAGACTTACAGTGGGAAAAACCTAATTCCCTTCACCCTTACCAAAAAACTACTTATTAGGCAAGAGCCTAAGGGCTGAGGATAATACATAAGATCCAGAATTACAATTGTATATAGTTAATAACAATATAAAAACAAAACAACTAAAACTAAAACCCTGCAAAAGCCTTCATCAATAAAGAGCCAATATCCCTAACATATAAGAAAGATTTCATTAGGTCCACTAGCTATACTTACCAAGTCAAGAGAGTGGACTGGTATATTTTAGATAAATTTTTTCAACAGCTGAGATTGAAACAAAAGGACTCTACTTCAATCACAATTAACCAATTAATCACAATTTCCCTCCACATTCCAGCTAAGAAATGTTTTCTTGTGCTTCAGCATAATTCAAAATGTCCATTAACTTTCCCCAACATGACTGCACAGACCCTGACACATAGAAACCAGCTTACTACTTTATAAAGCACTTAACTTACCCATCCTGCTACAAAAAATTCTAGATTGGAAGCAGAAGTAACAAATCAAAAGTAGCAAGTGACTCAAAACACCCAGGAACACAACAGCTGTGCAATATGCTTTTCTCTTCTCCCAGACCATTTTCCCAAATGAGAGAAGCAGAAGAGAAAGTCTCTCATTATAAAATAGTCTCTGAAGGGCTGCAAAAGATTAAGTTGGTGAGACAGAGGGCTGAAATTTGCTTCCTCAGTGTAGAAATCTGCTTGTAACTATTGAGTAAGATCTTCATTTTTTAATATTAGCATGTAATACAGTTTTTATACAGACCTACACAATATCCTAGTGAAGGCGGCATATTTCTCTGGGTTAAAATCTTTGGCGGTCAGAACAATAGAAAAATGAGTCACCTGTCCAAAAGAAACAAAAAAAGTACACTTTTTAAAGATACTTTAATAGAATTAATTTTTATTACTATATTCTAACAAACCTCTTGTACAAGGCATATGAGCATTAAGAGACTAAAATATAACAAAGTCCTCACTTGCTTCTTCATACTTTCATATGTGTGTATGTATATATTTATTTACATATACATATATATTTAATTTTCTACATAATACAATACTTTTAGAAATCTTTTCTTTAATGCAAAAATAGTTCAGTCAAATATTACAAATGTGATTTCTATTTAATGTCCCCTAATCTCATCAAAGCAGAACTAGGATTGCTAAATAAAATCTACCAATTTAGCAACTGTTTTTCATTAATGAGATAGAAGGATGGAAAACGACAAATACATCTCAGTAACTATCATACAGTTCCTGAAATACTCAATTCTTTATAGAGTGCTATAACCTAAACAGCACTGTTATAATAAGTTTTATTTGTTTATATGCTATTATTATTAACTATAAATTCCTTTTTTTTTTTTAAAGATGACCGATAAGGGGATCTTAACCCTTGACTTGGTGTTGTCAGCACCACGCTCACCCAAGTGAGCTAACTGGCCATCCCTATATGGGATCCGAACCCATGGCCTTGGTGTTATCAGCACCGCACTCTCCCAAGTGAGCCATGGGCCGGCCCTATTAAATATAAATTCCTGATAACCATACCTAATATTTCCATCAATGAGACAAAATTCAGAACTTTATAAAAAGCAAAGCATTGAAGAGACACATTTTTAAAAATCTTATCTTGGGCCGGCCCGGTGGCGCACTCCTACAGTGCGCCACTTGAGAGTGCGGCAGCGCTCCCGCCGAGGGTTCGGATCCCACATACA